AATAACAATAATAATAACAATAATGATAATAATGATAATAACAACAATAACAGTAATAATGATAACTAAAAACCCACTTCCTGTTGCTAAAGCAGTGGGCGGCGGTGATCACGTGGTCCCTGTTGACGATGGCGCCTCCGCAAGACACTTCCTGCCCGCCTCCGCCCGTGATGGTGATGTAGGCCACCCACGGGTACTCGAGTCGGGACGCCACCTGCCCGCCCACGATACGGGGCACGGTGAGGTTCGCACGCCCGCACTCCGCGGCTGGGGGGGTGGAAGGGTGGAAGGGGAATGGGTCGAGGGGGGGGAGGGAGGGAGTGCGAGAGAGAGAGGGAGGGAGAGGGAGGGAGAAGGGAAAGAGGGAGGGAGGGGGAGGGGAATAGCGGGGGGGGAGGGAAAGGAGGGCAGGGGAGAGGGAAAGGGTGGGGGAGGGGAAGGAGGGAGGGAGGAGGAGGGAGGGAGAGGAGGGATGGGGGAGAGGGGATAGGATGGGTGGAGGGACCGGGGGGGAGGAGGCCGGGGCGGATGGGAGATGACAAGGGTGGAAAGAGTGGGAGAAGGAGGAGAAAAAGAGAGAGAACGGGAGGAAGGGAGTGAGGAGGAGGAGGAGTAAGAGAGGGAGAAGGGAGAGGAAGAGGAAAACGTGGGAAGGGAGGAGAGGAAGAGGAAAGAGAGAGAAGCAGGAGAGGAAGAGGAGAAAGAAGGGGAAAGGAGGAGAAAGGGGGAATAAAGGGAGGTGAGAGGAGGATTAGGAGGGAAGGAAAGCAGGAGTGGGGGGGGGGGGGGGAGTAATAGGAGGTTAGTGTAAGAGATAAGGCGGGGGGGGTGGTGGCGAAGTGGGGGGGAGGGGTTGAAGTATCAAGCAATGGAAGTGTCCTGCTGGGTGGCGCTTTCAGTTTCAATATTATCTATCAATCTTACATCATTACGTAATACATAGATGCATATATGTATGTGTATAAATAAATGAATACATATATATATACATATATATATATATATATATATATATATATATATATATATATATATATATATATATATATATGTATATATATATATATATATATATATATATATATATATATATATATATATATATATATATATATATATACGTATATGCGTTTATAATCGTAATCCGAAGAAAACTCACGGCAGAAGAGTCTGTCCCCGACGACTGTTAATGTCGTCGTTCCGGGCGTGGTCGTTGATGTGGTCGTTGATGTGGTCGTTGATGTGGTCGTGGGTTTGTCTGTTCACCGGAAAGAGAGAGAACAGGATTAATGGACTGGTTAGCCACTGATCAGCGTAACGACAAAGGCTAGACAATAAGACAACAACGATATTAATCATAGTAATAATAATACCATTGGTGTGTTGATACCATTATTACTATAATTAATCATTGTACCAAAATAAAAGCCACACGTATTATAGGTTTATTATATATATATATGTTTATTATATATATATATATATATATATATATATATATATATATATATATATATATATATATATATATATATATATATATATTTTTTTTTTTTTTTTTTTTTTTTTTTTTTTTACAAACGTTTTGATATTAGACTCAATAAAAAAAACACCACACACAAACACACAAAAAGAAATGCATTACATATTCAAGACCACTGCGAAACACACACATGAGGTAAAAATTTAAAATTCGTTACAAAAAAAAAGTATTCTGGAAGAAAATATATAATTTTACAAGAATTATATAATCACTATGTCATTATTATATTCACATTGGAAATAAGGGTAATGATACAAAACATTTATTATTGTGCACTGTATATTTGTAATGATGATGATAACAAAAGAACGTTATGATGATGATGATGATGGTGATGATGGTGATGATGATGATGGTGATGATGATGGTGATGATGATGGTGATGATGATGATGATGATGGTGATGATGGTGATGATGATGGTGATGATGGTGATGATGATGGTGATGATGATGGATGATGATGATGATGGTGATGATGATGGTGATGATGGATGATGATGATGGTGATGATGATGATGGTGATGATGATGATGATGGTGATGATGATGGTGATGATGATGATGATGATGGTGATGATGGTGATGATGATGATGGTGATGATGATGATGATGGTGATGATGATGGTGATGATGATGATGGTGATGATGATGGTGATGATGGTGATGATGGTGGTGATGATGGTGGTGATGATGGTCATGATGATGGTGATCGTGATGATAATAAAAGAACGTTATGATGGTTATGGTGATGATGGTGATGGTGATGATCGTGATGATAACAAAAGAACGTCATGATGATGATGGTGATGATGATCGTGATGATAAAAGAACGTTATGATAGTGATGAGGATGGTGATGGTGAGGATGATGATGGTAATGATGATGAGGATGATGGTGATGATGATGATGGTGAGGATGGTGAGGATGATGATGGTGATGATGATGATGGTGATGAGG